CTCAACATAAGCTGCTACAATTATTAATAATATTAGTAAATGTAAAAAAAAAAGAAAAACCAATAAAATATTTAAGGGTGTTGCAGAATAAAAACCTATAAGTGAATATTTAGATTTTTACTATAGGAGAATAATTCAAAATGCTGTACTATTTGAGTTTGATGATATTTTGACTATAAGGTCCTTAAATGGTTCAAGAAACTCAATAATTTTTTCTAGAATAGCCTACTGGCTATGTGAAATGGCATACTGGTAAAGATCATCATGAGTACTAGTAAGAGAATTAAGTGCCTACAAGTTTTTTTTTTTATTAAGAATTTATATTTAGAATATAAAATGAGTGCTACCAAATTAAAGTATGAAACTGAATATATAAGACTTACATCTTATATATTCAGTTCTATTTTTTAATTTGGCAACATCAAAAAATCAGAAATATATAACTTACTGACTTAAGAAATAACCCATTCATAATCATATCATATGTAAAGTTCTACGAGTAGAGTAATCCAAAATAGGTTTAATAAATTTTATACAGCATGCATTACAAGTATCTTCAAGGAGTTCAACATATTGAGGTGATGCACAAATTGCAGAGTGAAGTTCTCAGATTTTTTATTTTTTTATTTTCAATTTTAAATCTTTTTACTTTTTTTTTATTATAATAAATAATAATCTACTTTTATAAATATAACTATACCTTACTAACATCTTCATTTATCTTATCCAGAGCTGCTTGTACTGCCAAATTAAGAATGTAATTGAAGCATCTAAATCGAAGCCTTTCTGAATTCCAACTAATATTTAACTCTTCTTTTAATTTGATTAACAATTCTCGTACAAAAACATTATTATTTGAAGCATTATCTAAGATGATGTCAAGAAGCTACAAAAAAAAGTTAGTTATTACTATGTTTATAAGGTTATTTTCAAGGCCAAAACCCTAATTAAATGCTGCAGAAGGAAAACCTGGAAGTAGATATTTAGGTTATCACTGTAGCAGACTTATCATATTATAATATAATATGATAAGTTCGTTATAGTGATAACTTAAATATCTACTTCCAGATTTTCTTTCTGCAGCACTCTTATTAAGCATAAGATAAGTACCTTTAATTTAATATTATAATCTTCTAGTACCTGATAGAACCTATTAGCAATATTTAAGCCATCATATCTTCTACTTATTAAACCAAAATCAATAATTATTTCTTTAAGAGTCCAATTTTCATCAATATAATGAGTAGTAGTGAAAATAAATGTCTTATTATTAGAGGATGTCCAGAGATCAGATGTAAAAGATATTTTGGAACTAATTTTGGAAAGGTGTATCTATATTATATTAATCAGTAAAAAGAA